TCATTTTGCCTCCGAGAAACATGCAAAACGGGACGGAAAACATGAAATTTTGCAATAATCTTACGCCACCCTTGCACAAAACGACGATAATTTTTAATTTTCATAGACAACAGAAGACTGTATTTTTTTACATAACCCCCCCCCCTGTATTTAAAGCTGGATCCGCCCCTGCTGTCACAACAGGTGTGGAAAACGAAGTGCAAAATGTGCAAATTCAGTGTCTCAGGTAAAAATATTTCCTAAAAATACGCAAACCAATTGAAAATTAATTATAACCATTTAGAAAAAAGTTTAATTTGTTTTGAACAATAATCTGTTTTTGAAACGATAATATTACGACTGCTCTATTTACATAAAGTATACATTAAGTATTTTTGATATTATTTCATGAAATGTTATTTGTTTCATGACTTGATGATTTACTTTAGCTGTATATACGTTTCGCATTCTCAAAGCTACCCGAAATTTCAGAATTTATATTTTTCTAAACCATTTTTCCAAAAAAAAACGCATTTAGAAGGTGAAACTTACTTGTTACTTACCGATTATCAGCTGCAGATATTCCAAAATTTATATAGTTTCCTTCTACTGGCTTCTCATCTTCATCTTCATAGTACAAGCTCACCTCTCTACCTATAGTGATAGATAGTTGCTCATCCCCAACTTCACTGTAGAGAGTCAACAACGGAAATGATTGGTCTGAAATGTTTAATAAAGAATCAACATTATAGAATACCAAAATAAATCGTCAATTATTGCTATTATTTCAGTATAGCAAACTTGAACAACAAATCTAATAACTTAATTATTCGAAGTTTAATTCCCTAAGTTTTCGAAAATCCTAACATTGAGTTCAACAAACAAACATTGGAGCATGTTTATGTATATTTGTTACCGTTTATTGGCCGCGCTATTATCAGGATGGAAAAATCCGTAGGAAAACCTCCCGGAAAAGCGTTCTCGGTGCTGAGAGAAATTTCGGCTCTATTGCTCCATCTGTACGCCCACTGCTCCCTATAATAATATTAAAACATTTAAATTTTAATTAGGGAAGTGTTTTCAGTTAAAGTTGAAAATGTTTACCAAATGAACATTACATACAGTCGGCCACACATAAAAGTAGATGATTAAATATTACCATTATGAATTTTAGGTACCTACGACGAATTACTATCTCGATCTACCTTTGCGTAAATGAAATGACATAATCCTGACAAATAAATTTGTCTACTATCAAAATGACACTTTTAAAAGTATTTGAAAGAACTTGAATAATTACATTAATCGAGAAAGGATGGTCAACAAAAACAGTAGCTGAGGGATTTGCAAAACCGAAGAGCACAATTTATAAAGAAATTAATTAAATTGTCAAATTAAAACAAGTTTGTGACATACATTGTATGTATATTTGACGTATTTCACAAAGCCTGATTTTCCGAAATTGGGAAAAATCGCCTATAGGAGTCGTCTACTTTTATGTGCCGCCAAATTTCATTTCAGGGGCGAGGCCCGAGGCTGTGGCCCCTGTAGCCCCCCCTAGATCCCGCGCTGACTGTACCTACATAAAGAAATAAACATGACAACTAAAAAAAAATCTTGTCTTACTTGTCAGTTGCTGTTGTATTCCAACATGGCCCTTCAGTAGGTCTAATTGCTTGAGGTGCAGATTTTAGATCGGCCAGTTTCAAAATGTCGACTATAGTGGATACGTCTGAACCAAAATAATTCAGTAAGGTTTCTTAATTCAGCGTGATCACGTTATTAACTAATCACTTTAGGACTTTTATTCCTGACTTTTTCAGTAACTTTTTGAGATTTTTGTAACTGTTTCTATTAAAAAACTAACACAAACATAATTGGTAATAAGTAAAGTACTTAGACTTAACTACATCAATTGGTTAGCATATCAGAAACCGATATAAAAAAGTCTCCCCATATGCGCTCAGCTTCATAATTAACAAGAAGTACTGTTTAATGACATAAAATATGGTCAAATGGATTAACTACATGTTTTCCACGTATAAATGACGCTTAATGCTGATTAAAATAGACATCCAACCCAAATAAGACAAACTCGCCAATTAATGAAATTAATATCTATTTCTGGCTAAAATTAGACGCTCTGTCAGTTGATAATTAATAATCGAAGGTAAAAACCTATGACGTTTTAATAATTCATTCAATTTCCAATTATTTTAAATAGCCTGATATATTTTGATATATGATTTTAGAAATAGGGGGATATAATAGTTGGATTAAACAAACTTAGAATCTACTGCTGTACTCAGTATTATAATTGTGAACTCAACTGAAAATTAAAGTTACTTTATTTTGATCTTTTCCAAGCAAGTTATTGTAAAATTTTGATTGATTAGACATAAATTGTATTTCATGAGTCATCAATAACAATTCAATGCTGGGCATCTGACTTCTGGATGTAACAGAACTTCGTAGTGAAGTTAAGAACTTGAATATAAGGTATTTAAAAAGTTCATCCTGTAGAAATTTTATTTAATGTCTGTTTCATATTGACCGACACATTAATAATACCTAATAAAAGCTTGATCGTGCTAAATGTTAATTAAATTACACGATATATACGATATTAAATAAACGAGAGTTAGAGGGTGTTAATATTTTATTATCCTGTAATGCCCTTAGGGGCAGTTTATTGACGGAGGCATTAAAACTATTTTATCACATCGACCTGTTAAATATACCTACCACAGTTTTATGTTCTCCCGGGTAAATAATTAAAGTCCCCTGTTAAAAGTACAAAATATCTTTAGATACATATTACATATTATAAACATGCGAAAATTTGAAAATAAAATCAAAAGTAGGAACGTTTCGCCTTCTGTCCCATATTCAGTGGAGCTAATGTTTTCGTCAAAAACTGTCGTATAGTCGTTAAAAATGCTGACAACCTACGGAACCAGGAAAACGCCAAGTAGATATAAATCATCTCTGGACATGTAAGTCCATAAAACCATAATTGCTTAAACTCAATTGAAAATGTTGAAATCTGTTTTAAAACTATCTTGAATGAATGCCAAACCAGAGCAGCATACAAATATTTATGCTACTTAATACTTACCCTTCTGCCCATACGACTGCTGTATCAACCACGCCCAATAAGCAAACCACAATTTCCAATATTTTGGACCGCCGTCTCTTAATTTATTCCGAAACCGCATTTTCACTCCATGGACGGGACACAGACTAATTTCGGATCGGCTGGCTGCTTCTTTACATGTGTTTAATACAACATTACATTAACATACTTGTAATAGATAAAACAGCCCGCGTAAAAAGAAAGCCTTATTAATATTACTATAAAATTGCAGAATGCATTAATACTTTCAATGGTATGAGAACATTTAATTTATTTTTCCACTCATTGAAAGAAAACATGCACAGCTTCTAGAATTAAAAGTTATAACCGTTTATTAGCCGAACTAATGCAAATTAATTATTGGAATGGATTCCCTGTCCAAAGCGTAGAAAGTGCATATTGGATAATTATTCAAAGGGTAAAGGTGGTTGCTAGTAAATCCCCTACACTAAAAGGAGTGAGTAGTATCTAATAATGTTGAGGAGCATTCTATCCTAGATAATAGATATAATCTATTCTGTGGCCAAGGAAGTTCAAAGAACATGAGTCTGTGTTAAAAGCATTTTCCCACAACCTTATTAAGTTAGTTTAAGCGTCTGGAATGGGTATGAAGGAACCAGCTAAATTAAAATTAGACAGATTAGGAGTTACTTTAATTGCGGAATACAATTATTTGTTCTATTAGTGTTTGAATCACCCTGATATTAAAATCGACGCAAATGTCAATGTTAAAAACGATGAAAAAGGCCATATTTTTACTCGTATGAGTAAAAAACGGACTCTTGGAGGCATCCGAAATTCGCGTATATTGTTACATTCGATAAAAAAATGTTCCACTCTTTTCGCCCTTGTACAGAAAATTACTATGCTGGTCTTATCTACATAAAAAAGACGTTTCTTAGAAATTTTGAGTGCAAAAAATGTGTGATCTCAGCAAGATTATTTGATATTTCAGCATGAATATTTCATATAAATATCTACAAGTACAACACATTCCGATCGGCCAATTAAATATGGATGAGCCACTAGTGGTCTATATGGGTTGAAAATTGTGATATATTTCTAACGCTAATGAATACAATTAGAGCACCATATGGCTGTTGATTTAAAGTACCAATCAAGGCGAGATTTCTTAAGATGTCAACAAACCCGGTTTAGAATAGGTACAGTGTGTCCCAAGTTCGATCTTCGCTACTAAAACGAAAACCAATGATCAAAGTTGTATAAGAGTTGTATAAGAAACATTGAAGCATTTTTAATTGATCAGTTTATGGTTCAAGAACACCAGGCGATTATTATCTTGAATCAATGATCTCAATCAAACTAATGAATTTTGCAAATGATATTTTCGCCATAAACTTGTATCGCATCCATAGCGCGAATTAGTTAATCTATTTAGCAAATCTCGATGTTGAAATTGCTTCTGGTTAATGAATTGAATAGGCCAAAGTACAAGCTAAATGCTTAATACTGATGTCACCGTCATCGCTAACTTTTCAAAAGGAAAAGCAATTTAATAACCTTTTGCTCTCCAGTTTTGTCTAAATGAACAAATTTGCTACCGTCTGTCCGCGTGCTGAACAATTTGGCTGGCAAACAGGACCTTAATTTTTACCCTCTTCGTCAAAAACTTTCTGTTAAAACGCACGGTATTTCAGTGCTGGTTAATTGAAACTTATTTTGCATTGCGTATTAATTTTTAAGTAACTTTTGCTAGCCTCAACGATAGAAATAAACTGCTGAAAGTTGTGGCCACGGCTTTTTACTGTAGGTATAGAGTCCATTAGGACAATCATTAACTGTAAAGTTTTATAAAGAACAGCTAAAAACGTATTCCTTATATACTTACTCATGGGAAATCAAATGAATTAAATGCCTGTACAAAAAAATGAATTCGTTTATTACGCTAATCTTTAACAGTCAAATTTTATATATGACTTTACAAGGTAAGCCACTTTAACGTGTAAAAGATATATATGTCAATCAATTGCTATGATACTTTATTGAAACTATTCGCATATACTAGTAATAAGTTGGATGATAGACAGTTTTGTGCATATACCAAATTAATCTCGATTATACTGAACGATTCCAGTCAGAATCCGCCACCTCTACATCATGGACATGTGCCATGAGATGAGTGACCTCTCTGCTATCAGGTTAATATAGCTCTAAGGAAAAAAACTATAAAAAGTATATTTAAAAGGAATGCCAATAGTGCTTTTCGTCGTTTTTAGAAATTCATTTGTTCGTCATATGGCACAATCTGCACTTTACCCCCACCGCAGCGGTTGACCCAGCATTCGTCCTCGGGTTTGGGTACTGAAAACGAAATAAACTCTGTTAGTTTGGATGTGTTGATATGGACTTAGTGTTCTCCATACCTATTCAAAATGTCTTATTTTATTTTACTAAATCTCGGCTTGTTACATAAAAATGTACCTTATTGAATCGGAAGTTTTAGGAGGGTAACCGCTCCTGATGGGATTACGATCTTTTCCGATCGTGTTAACTGGACCCCAACGAGCAAACATCGATAATGCTCTTTTCTCTGAAGATGACTTCAACGACGATAGAAACGTTCTTTTTTCATTAATTCTTATATCTGAAAGCAAAAGCCAACTTTCCCCATACAGTAGTTACGAGTTAATTCTTAATTATTATAAGATTTTCATTTATATTCCAATAAATGTAAAGCTTTGCACATTGTAGGTACCTACAAAGAAAATAGCGATACTCCTGGAAAGAATGTTAGTGATGTGTATAGCGCAAGATAATGAACAGACTAATATGTAATTTAGTTGAAATGGTCATTCTTGTCTGCTACAGATTTAACACATATTAACGCTGAGTGGATAGGTGGACAACGATTCAAACAAATCGTTGTCCTGTCTTGTAAAGGTCAATATACTTTTAGGTAATAAATGAATTACTGCTTACCGCTTTCGCGTAAGTTGTGGTAGTAAGGTAGCCTGTCACCATCCAGTTGTTTAATTTCCGCTATTAGGTCGGCCTCTCGTATAATATCATTGATTTGCTCCAGCCAATGTGGCGTTTCAAAAGACTCTATTGACCTCGTTGACACGTAGATCAATTGAAGCAGAGTCACCAAGAGCAGTTGATTCCAAATCTGATGTTAAATAAATAGCAATGATGCAATGAATACTTTTTTAAACATTGATATATATTATCAAAAGATTCAGTAATGTCTAACATAACTACATTTCGGATAATGATAGAACTAACTAAGCCAACAAATTATCGGAGCTTCAATAATTAACACACTTATTCAGAAATTGACAGCCAAAGATTCCCAGCATTTTTCGAATAATAGAATGGCCTGCAATATTGCTTCCGACCCATTATCGAACCATACACCGACTTTATCCTATATTTAATAATGCCTTTCGGATCGTCCTACGCACGTTTTTCAACCCAATTTGGTCAAATTGTGAGAAAAATCGACCTATAAATTACCACGAGACTAAAGTTGTATAATAATGTCAATAATTCAAATCACATTAGTTAAGCATGCCCTGGGTAGGTAATATATTAGATTGGTTAAAGTATCTCAGAATATTTTTAAGCTTTGCCAAATAAGTTGCACTAGTTGAAAATACTAAGTAATATATGTTCTACGCGCTACGCGTTCTTAGTTATGGCGTTCAGTAAATGTGTCCCACATTTCACGCATTCTGGATCGTTATACCACACTACGAATAAGGCGCTCTCTTTGCAGAATTAATAAGCCTCAAAATAGACGACTAAACACGAAAATAGTTTATTCAGTTCAAGTTTTGATTTGCAAGATTCCGAATACTACGATATTCGTTTATATTTCCTTCTGCTTAAGTTAATCGAATAAAATATGTGAATAGATAAGTCACGTGTACAACATTGCAGCCTTTGTCACTTTAAGCATGAACGGAATAAAGCAGATATAAATCTCCGGCCTTTTCAACTCTGGAGCATTCTTTTCATAATTTCCAGCAGTTTTTCGAGAGTTTAAACTGAGGATTGAAATAAACCAGAAGGCTGCTGACATTTAAGCGTCCGAAGTGCCTGACGCATTTCGCCTTTTACGAAAATACTATAAAACTATTGTCCATTCAAGGTCTAATAATTGTGGGCAATTAAATAAACACCGATGGCCCAAAAGAATGTCGAACGTTCACTAATTCATTTTCTTTATGAAAAGATTTTCCAGAGCTCGTTTAAACCCATAGTTCATCCATTGAATGAACAGAGGCCTTTATTTTTGTGGTTTCAAGGTTCGCAATGGTTCTCCTCTTTAATGGTGCGAAGAACAGAATATATTCACGAAACTAATTATCTATTAGATGATTCCCTTCATAAAATGTTGGAGAGTTATGAGATAAAGGTCATGTTACGAACACCGTTTAGTGCAGAGTAATATTTTTAATTAACTTCAATGTACATAGGTACACACCTATTTGTATACAATGTATTCTTTAGTTAAACCCACACCCTGTATAAGAAATCACCCAAAATCCTTAGTGGAAAAATAGTAAGGATTTTGCGTCTTCAGTTGGAAAATGGTAAAAATCCCACCAAACGGGGCAAATGTCAATTCGATTACTTCTGACCTTATTTCGAGTGTTTCAATCGTTTTCGAAGGCAATTGATTGCGTTCAATATGCCAGCGGGATTTGACATAGCAATAAAAGATAATTCTGCCAGCTGTATATTACATTTCGCAAAAGCTCTATAATGATTGAATTAAGTAACGCTACTGATATTAACTAGAGATTCCCATAGAACATACGAATTATTTATTAATCGCAATGTAATCATAAATTTTATTTTATTAAATTTCAAAAACGAACCACTTGTTCGGAATTGGATGCATCACAGTTTTTACTCCTTCACTTCATTTCCTCAACAATAATTTAAGCATTAGTTTGATTTGAAAGCAGCTCGTAGAATCTTTGTTATAACTGAGCGAGCGTATGTTAAACTTTACCACGCTCAATTAATATCCCATGAAGTACCTTGTTTGTGTACAAAAGGCGAGAGGCTCAGTTAATTAGCCGTTATTATTAATTCAAATACTTATTCCACTTTCAGAGAATAACAAAAGTATAGAAATTTAGTAAAAAACGAATTAATTCCACCACAAAATGTTTTATTACGGATGGTAGTACAAGTAGTGGCAAGTCCATAATCGATCATCATTATCTAACACATTTGCAATTATTCGTGCGAATGGCAATACATATATGAGATGAACCCAATTTACGTTTCTCATTAAATGTGTAGATTATATTTTCTTGATTGGCCCTTTAATAAGTACCTACCTACTATCTTGAAGACGTTTCTGTAGAAGTATACTTAGTATAATTTATGTCACATACACGTATAGCAAGTATAATTTTAAAATTAGATTTTCTAATTCAGAAACAAAACCAACTTAGAAATTTAGAATGGAAAATTCAGCTAAATCGTAATTATTTCCCCTATTTATCATTCTCACATCACTCGGAAAATTGTGTTCGAATTACTAATGTTGATCTAATAATCTGATCGAATAGTTAACATCAAACCATTTATTTGGAGGGACATAGACATAGTACAAAAGGGTGACTTATGTCAAATGACATAATGTGAAGAAAGGCATTGGCAGGAAACTTAAAAAATAAATTGGAGATATTATTCTTCGTATTTCTTACATTTGCAGAAAAAAATATGTTCGATTGGATGACAAAGGTCTGTTTTGCGCACTTGCATCAAAAACTACTATTGGCGTAGACGCGATATCTTAACCAACAGTTTAATACATTTTGTTTACGTTGAAAAAACGTTGCATTTCTCGAAAATGCTCCATTAAACATGCATAACTGTCAATGTTTTGTCTGAACTAAATTCGCATTAATTTCCATTACACTCGATCACTCAAAAAGTCATCGGCGGCGAAGTATAGAAAAGCTCCTTCGAACGCGTTTTTCCTCACAATTTGTCGAAAGTGAAATGAAAGGAAGCAGCTTAATAAAGTCATGACCGAGAAAGTAGTAATAGTCAGTATGCAACCCTGAGCAAATCTATATTTTGAAATCACTTTTCATAGAAATAAAGAGCTTTCGTCCGAACTTGCTCAACAACTTAACTTAAATTATCTTCTTAGAAGCGAAAGCTCTATTTTGCAATCTCTCACTTTGAACGTTTCCGTGGAATTACATTAAGTACTTACCATTTTTAACGCGAATAGTTGATGGTATATTTGACTTACAGTGCACCGACACTCACCAACTTTGTAATTTGTATTACTACTAGAACAGCTTCTCGACTTGCCTCTGAAGTTGTTGCAATTTCACTGCCGGTGATGGAGTTTGAGTTTCCCCAAGCGCTGATGACACCTTACTCTGCACGTTTTACGTGGAACTTCGTATTTGATCACAGCTTTTCAGTGGCCACTTGTTGCTGAAGACCATACAGGAGCACGGCCGTCACTTTTCAAACTTGTTGAACATTACAATAATTAAATTTTTTTTTATATGACCAAAATTGTAAAAGACATAATCTTTGATGTTATGATTTGCATCTGTTTATATTGTCGTCTTGTGCATTATTTGCAGTTAGTGCTAATTGTGTAGACGGTTAAATACTTTCGTAAAAATATTGGATTAGCTTCATAATAGTAGTTAAAACTTATTTTCACATATGAAATCTGCCAAATACAATTAACTAAAAATCTACCATTTGTACACTCGATTCCAGAGCATGAACCGACATTTTTGCTTTATTCTGGAATTATTTTATGCTCCATGCATATGCACCAAAAATATAGAAAGCTTTTGTCAAAATCATTTATTAGTCGGGTATATTGAAATGTTTCGCTAGTGTGGTCAATAAATAAAATTGAAAATGAATATTCCAACAAACGTACCTGATAGTAAGGTAGGTAGGGATGCCTACATATTCTAATAACCACAAACACATTTAGTCCTCGGAATATCAAAAAACTCATTTTATATTTATTGGATTCAAAGATTGAACCCGAAGTAATCAAATTACTTAAGATACCTTTTCAAATACTTTGTGACTGTTCGTATATGCTTTTAGTAGTTTTTGCTTCAATTTTCGTACACTCGCTTAGAAATTTATATTGTATAGTCGAAGTTCCATTTAGGTTGAAAACCTATTTAATTTCAGATCTGTGCAAGTAAAAGCTCCCACTTAACTTTTCGATATCCATTATAGCTTTATACGTAGACCCTTCCAACGGGGAAAAACTGACATTTCGGGTAACTAAAAATATTTTAAGTCATGTATGTAGCTTACAATGTTGCTACACATATAAAACTGCACTAGGTAAGGAAATTATGTATGTAGTATGTAGTACAATTTTGAACTAAATAGTATGTCTTTGAGGAAACTGCACTAGACCATTGTCAAAGTAATTATATTTTGACATGATATGAAATTTATAACAGATTTTTTGAAGTGATAACTTTTTATGGTAGGGTGAACCGATTTTTCTCCCACTCCGGCCTATCGGCCTCTCCCAAACGACCGAGTATTTATCATTGCAAATGAGATTGCACATTGCCGTGCACTGTTAAATATTGTTTTAAGAACTAACAATCGATGTTGTGCAACAAAATTGTGCCT